GGGTGTTCCATAGTCTGGGGGCAGCTGCCGAGAAGGCCCTTTGTCTACAAGCCATCCCTCTTACCTCTTTGAGGGACGGCTCTTTCAAAAGGGCCCCTTGGCTAGATCTTAACTGCCGGGTAGGCTCATATGGAAGGAGGCGGTTCTTCAAGTATCCAATTATCATTATCATTATTCTTGTTGTTGTTGTTGTTGTTGTTGTTGTTGTTGTTGTTGTTGTTATAGTAGGTGGAGATGTTAATAGTCCTGTGTTATTTTCAGTACTTCTAAATAACACACAAAATAAATAGTTTCTGCTGATGACATAGACAGTATATGAGTAAAAGAGAAAGTCTTTACATTTTTGCATTCCCCAACTATAGTTGAGTGTTCTATGCTAGCCAATTCTCACATTGAATGTGGGGTGTTTTGACCCTAAACAATGTTCCCTGTAAATTTTCTGCCAGTGCTGGGTGGGGGCCCCATCCTGCTCTCACAGGGTTCTGGCTATGACTAGAACTAAATGGCCAGCAATACTGGCTGCAGGTGCACAGCACCAATGCAGCACTGCTCAGCCATGTAGCTTCGAGGGAATGTTGGTTCTAAACAATTATGGAATTCCATGATATAGTTCAATGTTTTTGCAGCATTTAAAAAAAAACTTAGATTAGTATAACTTTGCATGTATTTAACCCTCAGGGCACATATCAAGATTTCTTATTTTTCACTCAGTCACTGCCTTCGTCAGTAAACAGAGAACTTTGACAGTGGCGAGGATGGTGACTGTTGGAGAAGATGCAGAGGAGGAACAATTGTAGTAGCAGATTGTATAGATGGAATCAGACAGACTACTTCACTGGACCATGACTATGACTGTATAGATGGAATCATACAGACTACTTCACTGGACCATGACTATGAAACATGCATGCTCCATGACCGAAATGTGTTAGTTTCATGAAAGATTTCCAAAAACTAGCTATAAAAGGACAAACATGTACAGTAAAGCACATTTAGTGGGGACAGGAGAGAGCACCTTCTTGGTGAGGGAACCTATTTTAATCTTGCTTTAGGTCACTTAGAATCCTGGTTCTAGAAGAAAGGGGAGACATGCATAATTAGTAACATTATCAGGGAGTAGTTAAAATATACACATATCAGTTCCTGAGAAATAATTTTGTATGAATGTTTAGATAAAGTATAGTGCAATATAACTTCTTGAAATCTTGGATCTTATAAGATGTTTATCTGTACAGCTGTTTCAAAATACCATGTTTCCCCGAAAATATGACAGGCTCTATATTAATTTTTGCTCCAATAATTGCATTAGGGGGTTATTTTCTGGGGATGTTAAATTTTACAGTCATGTCATCTTCTGATTGCTGCACAATGCTGCACATTGGTGGAGGGTGGGGTTTCACTTAACTGGGGCTTATTTTGGGGTAGGGCTTATATTACGAGCATCCTGAAAAATCATACTAGGGCTTATTTTCAGGTTAGGTCTTATTTTAGGGGAAACAGGGTATTTAGGTGAGATTTGCCACAACATGTTTTATTTATGTAATGATTACATCAAATGGACTCTAAGATAATTATTTTTGTAGAAATAAAGTCAATGGAGCACAAAAATGCTGAATTAAAAATGTTTCAGCAGAAGAAGAATGAATTGAAGCAAGATTTACGTAATCTTCAGAAAAAGGTGCAAGGTATTTATTTTGGCTTTCCTTGTGGTCTGTAGAAAGTAGCTCAGGGACTAGAATGCAACTTTTACTGGAATGATCTGTGTTCTCTTTGAAATATATTCAGCATTTATGGGTATTATTTGACTCTGTGCTGTCCCTAAACACTGAGACAACAGTAGTGGGCAAGTACATTTGCACAAACTGTGTCTAGAACTCCTTCCCTGTTTTAATTTGACTTGGCAATTGTCATCTGTGGTTTAGTTATATTCCACTTAGACATAGGGCTATCCTTTGAAATTACCAATTTTGTCTCAAATGTAGAACCTAGGCTGCTGGTTGGTGCACAATTTTGACTTTTTATTGAGTACATATTACTTTTGTGAGAGAGATCTATACTAATTACCAGTTGCTTTCCTGGCCAAATTGAAGAGATTAGTTTAATTTTTTTTTAAGTTGTAAATGACTTATGGGCTGGCTATCTAAGGAACTGCCTGTCTCATTATGATTCTGTCTAAATGCTTCAGGATATGTCATCTTGAGAACAGCAATTCCTTGATGGACACACGAGGGAGAGGATTTTCTGTGTTACTTCCAAAACTGTACTTCTTTTGAGGTTTGATCAGTTCCCACTCTTGCTGTTAGGAGGGATGTGAAGACACATCTTTTCAATGTGCCATTTTAAACTTCAATGTCTGTTATGATTAATTCCATATTTTACTTTTTAAACAGTTCTTAGTGATGTCTGTTACCTTATTTGGAAAGATAGGATTAAAAACTACTAAATAAATCGTAATGAAATATTCTTTTAGAAAAGTATAATAGAGTGCCTTTTCTGTTTAGATCTTGAAAATGAAATAAAAGAAGCTAAATACAACACAGAGTGTTTAGAAATGGAAAAAATCCAAATGGCTGCAAAACCTCAGACAGATCCAGATTGTATAAGGTAAAGATACTACGGTATTATAATACAGTGTTACTACAACTACTATTGTTATCCAGTACTACACACACGTAAATTCATCCTTTCTTTTTAGCCTCCTGTTCCACACTTGATGTTTAGGATTCATTCCTTCTGGAGCTGGTTTGGAGATATATGAGGGGATGCAATGGGGAGGAAAGAAAGGGAATGTTAAATCGTACAAGTGGAAGTTATTAAGAATAATTTTGTGTTAAGATGCTACTGTTTCTAATCTCATAATAACCACATGAACCTAATTAGATGTGATACAAACTTTCATGTGTGTGGCTGTCTGCATGGTTAGAAGCATCACACAGAGTGAAAGATGTCCAAATCACACCCTGTCTATGCAGGCCTATATGTGTCTACTCAGAAGTAAACTTCATTAATTTTAACAAGGCATACTGCCAGGTAAGTAAATACAAGAGTACAGCCTTTGTATGCCCTGTAGCCAATAAACAAACATTCTTAACAGATAAAATCAAAGGAGATCTACCAAGCTCCTTTCCTCACTTTAAATTAAGCTACAGCATAAATAAAATCTTCTAAATGAAGTGTAATTTGCTTCAGAATTTGTGTGTGGAAGCAAAACTGTATGAATGAGACATGCATCAAAGAAAAACTCTAAATGATAACACCATTTCTGTGTCCGTAAACTGATGTGGTATCATACACTACAACTTGCTTTTGCATTATTTATTCTATTATGGTACATTAGCTTTTCTGATGTATGAGGTTGTCATCTCCCTTCTAAATAATACACTTCTTATGTATTATGATACACTTCTAACAGTACCTTGCTACTGCAGTGTCATTTAACATTTAGTACAATATAATTAGGAAAGTGGTGTTTACTTTTAAATACTAAAGTGCTGACAAGCAAGGTTAGTTATTATCCTTCAATTAGCAACTGACATGGTATTTGAATCAGTAAGATATTTAAACAAAAGATATAATAAATGTTAAATGTTTGGGAAAAAAAGCCCTATGTTTAGGTATTCCACTTAAAATAATGTATGGTGTTTAACTACTGACTAGTGGCGAACCTCCCTTATTTGGGCAAAGTGTTGGAGCGGGTTGTGGCCAGTCAACTCCAGGCACAGCTGGATGAAACAGATTTTCTGGATGCATTTCAGTCTGGTTTCAGGCTGGGTTTTGGTATGGAGACTGCCTTGGTCGCCCTGTACGATTACCCTTGCTGGGAGAGATGCTGGCCACAGAGACTGGCGAAACGTTAGGAAGAATAACCTTTAGAACGTGGTCAAAGAGCCCGAAAAACCCACAACAAACATTATATTTTAATTGTTTTATCTTTTTATTGTATTTTTATTGTATTTTAATTGTTGTAAGCCGCCCAGAGACCTTTGGGTAGAGTGGGCGGCATATAAGTTAAATAAATAAATAAAGTCCGATGTACTTTGCAAGTGCAGAGAAGAACAGGCAATTTCACATCTATGCCAGGTATTAAGAAAGATTTAATGCTAGTTTCCCCACATGCTCTTGATGATGCCTGTTACTGGGTGACAATTATCACAGTAATGTACTGTGACGTTTATGACTGTTAACATATTTATTCAATATGGTTTAAACACTCTATTTTCTTAATCTAAGGACCAAATTGTACATCAGAGCTGAAATCATGTTATTGTTAAAGACATGTCATTGAGGCAGTTTTCTGTTTCTGAAATCAGACTTAATGAAGGAGGAATATGATTATGGCCTGAAAACCAATCACAAAACAAAAGAAGCTAGTTTTCAAATGAAAGGATATGAGAAAGTTTTTGATGTGACAATCATACACAACCAGCTCTTAAAGAATTCCCTCTTCTAATCATTTATTTTATTTATTTATTTTTTGCATTTATATGCCGCCCATCTAGACATAGTCTACTCTATCATGACTTTCTGCTAATAGATAGTTCCTTCTCCAGAGTCAAACTAGACAATATATTGGCATGTTTTAAGTGGTTTGTTAAAGCATGTCATTTTCCTTATTATATAACTTGCACGTAGCATGCTTAGTTTTTTGATTGCTTAATGGAAGGGAAGACAGGTGTAGTTTACAAGGCTGAATAATAAAGTGAGGAAAATCCTGTTGTGAAAGAAAAAAAAATCTAATTCCAGGACATATACAGTAATGTTAAGGTCTGGTTCAACACTAAGAATAAAGCAAAGTAAAATATGCTGCTTATATACTGCTTCATAGCGCTTAAAGCTCTCTCTGGGCGGTTTACAATATTAATTATACAGGATACACATTGCTTTCCTCCCCAGCAAGCTGAGTACTCAATTTACCAACCTCAGAAGGTTGTATAAACCTCAATCCAGCTATCTGAGCCTGGGATCCTATTCAGATTGTGAGCAGAATGTTCTTTATATGTTTAACCACTGTACTGTTAGGCTCCTAGTTAGTATGCATGTCCTAGACCAAATCTTTTGAAGATTTATGCATGTGTTTAAGACCTACTAATTTTGATTTAAATTATTTATATTTTCCCATTGAAAGTTAACCAAGGGTATTGTATATTTGTTTTGTTGGTATACCTATAGGACAGAATTGTCCATCTGGGACCTCCAAATTGTTGGGGGGGAGGGTTTTTTAAAAATGAGAAGTTTCCAGAAGTTTTGAAAAAAAGGCTAATTGGGTCCAAGTCAGGTCATGGTAAAGAATTATCCCCTCAGTGATGCTAATGACCATTTAAGGCTAATTTTAATAAAGCAACTGGAGTCATGAGCAAGAAGGGATCAAAGAATATATGCAACTTTCTGAGAATGGGGTCTCCAGACTTCTGGAAT